AAAACCCCATAGTTTCATAACCAAAATTTTCTTTTTTTGTAATTTGCTTTGTTACATCTTAACTTGAGAAAGTTAAGAAGCCTGCATTATTTTTTTAGAGGTACCAATGACAACTGGGGACATATATTTTACCCTTCTTACTCTCAAACGCAGTCACCTTAGCTGCAGAAAGTCATGGTCCAGCCACACTGTGTTCCCCAAACTGATTTTTATTACACATGTTTTATAGATCAAGTTGGTTGAACTGGTCATGTGAGTCAGTGTTGCAATCTGTCCGTGCCTTATGCATTTTCTGTGGCTGATAGATATTTTTATGAATTGGCTGGTAAGCCATTTACAGTGGATTATTTTTAATTAAATGAGTGAGATTTTAGTAACCAATATTGCAGTTCTCTTACATCAGAGGAGCTCTTTTTTGTTGACACCAAGGAAATGTTAATGTATTAGTTCTATCTCTGAGTGGCTTTTCTACCCTTAGTTCTGTTTTAAAAACTATTTAGTTTTTTGTTCTGTTTAGTTGTTGTTAGCCAACCCATAAGGACATTTTCATATATTGGGATTTTTAAAAATATATATATTTTGTTTATTTAATTGTAGCTGATTAGAAATTATATACATTTTTCATATATTTTTTCTCTAGGTATCTGTTACTCCTCACTCTGGGAAACAGGTTAGATTTGGTCTTACTTAGGGAAGCTATTCTCATAATTCAGGGGGAAAACTCACCAGGAATAGTTATATTTAATATTTTTTTGATAAATGTACTAGCTCTACCAAGTGGTGACTGATCAAGTTGATTATATTTTCTTCTCTTTATTTTCTTTTCTTGTATTCTATTTATAACATTTCAGGGTTGCACTTTGGGGGCAGGGAGTTAGATCATTTTAAGAATATTTCATTTCCATGTTTGCAGCATTTTGTTTAAAACAGGAGTGCTAAAAAATAGCAGTGGTTAGAACACATTGTTTAATGTTGTTTAAAGATGAAACACTCAAATTTGCCAAAAAATACCATTACCAAGTTCATCCTCAAGAGGTTTTTTAGTGGGAAGAATAACACTAAAGAGGTGACAGACCTCAGTCAGAGACATCCAGTTCTATGCAGAAAAGAACACCAAAAAAAGCTGAGAAATTAATCTTAATGTAGGCTTCTTGGAGGAAGCAAAGGAAGGACTCCAAATGTTTGACAGGATTTCCAGGTTCCATGGCTTCATTAGCACATTGACTCACATTGTCTCATTTGGGATTCAGTAGAAGGTGGGTACATCATGGTCTCACTCCCTGCTGATTGGTTTGCTGAGATTTCAGCTCATTATTTCTCTCAAACATATATGTGAGCTTGGATTTACTGGAGTGATAGAGAATTTGTCGTCCTTAAACCTCAATTTCTTCTCAATAGCTTTTTCACACTGAGTTAGAACAATAACTGTGTATTTCTTTTACATCTCTCTTCTTCCTTACCTCTGGTATTTAGTGTCTCATAATAAGAGAGACAAAAAGTGTATTTGAATGCAGATCACAGAGGTTTCTGAGTACAGCCTGAAAACCTTAAGCACCAGATTTTTCATTCTAGAGGCTCCTTTCCAGTCTCTGCTTTATCTTAATCTCTTCATTCAAAATCTTTTATAGGTATTGACATATGCCTATTTGTCTACAGCTCTTTCAGGAAGAGCTAACATTTGAACATTTGGGCTTCTGAAATCCTGGTTCTTTCGGAAAGGAGACAATATGCCATTACATGTGTGCCATTATGTAATGCAAAACCAGGTCCATGCTAACTCAGAATCATTCTTTACTGAATATTTATTGGACATCTGTATATCTCAGACTTATCTGATTAGATAAAATTCCACCGCAAAAAATATCTTATTCTTTGTAGCACAGAATAAGCAGCTAACAAGACAGAGGTAATGTAAATACAAGATGTTATCAGCAGGCAAGACAAGCAGTGGATTTCCTACAGCATGATGACAATTGTGAATAGTTTGAATGTAAAATTCTCTTGTAAGTGTGGCATAACTTCTCCTCTTACATATGACTTACCTGTCCCACAGTTTCTGTGGAAAGGAATATGCATACATGCAATTCCTATGGAAGAGCTGTAAATTTAAACTATAAATCATTATATAAATATTATGTAATTATTATATCATCATAATTATTATATAATAATATATATTATTACTTATAAATAAATATTATAAACTATATATTTATTTGTGGGTTATCCAGTGCAGTGGCACTCTGAATTTTCAATACTTGAACAGTATTTGTTTCCATAACAATATCCACTCTGAGGTATAAGCTGGGATGGCAGGTCTGAGATAGTGCTGATGTATCAGAATGCTGTAATGTGCAAACATACATCAGCAATATGTGGTGTAACAACATCTCCACAGGTTTGCTAGAATACTTTGGCAAGGAGGTTTGTACACAAAAGTAGAAGCTTGCTTTGTCAATCTTTTCTGCTCAAAAATTTTACCATGAAGTTACTAATGAGTGCAGGTTGTGAGCATTCTCTGTGCTAAATATGTTCCTGCATTACACATTACACACATAAATACTGTGGATGGTATTAGATAGACTTCATCTGATGTAATTTAGACATGGGATTAATTCTGATCCAAATTACAGAATGCATAAATTGTTCCTAATTTTAAAATAACTTTTAGGAACAACCATATGCAATTCACCTTAATGAAATAATGCAGCTGTAGGGAATAAAAACACTAAACTGAGAAAAATTCAGGGCAATTGAGATCTTCTTGATATGAAGTATCAATGATTTCTCTGAATTGTAAGTCTTACAAAATGCTTATGATGTGTTACTACTTTTATTCTCAGAGATTTGTTCTGGCTTTTATTTTCTCTTTTATTTTCTCTTCTTACTCCTAGAAGGGAGATGAGGTAAGCACTGGATTTATATAATACACAGTACAGATAATTTTGTTGAACAAAATAAAAATAAATCACAGCTATTTTCTGAATATATCCCTTTTTCTGTCAGAATAAATTTCAGATTGTTGGCAGTTTTTCCACAAGGTTTTCTGTGACATCAGACCTAATTACCACCTATTCTGCTACTTAAAAATATGGGACCCTGGCAACACAGCTTCCATTCTCCAATCACAGGGCAGGAAAGCAATTGCAGGCTATTGCGTTTGGATTTGTCAGAATAAATAATTAAAAGACTCATCAGCTTCTGACTAATGAACAAGGAAATGTGATTAAGAAACTTTAAAGGAAAATAGCTGAAAACAATATAGAAATGATAGCAGGGATGATTGCTGTGAATGAGTGACTGAAATTTCTGAATAAGAGATTTTTTCAACCAGGCACAAGGACAGTAGTTTAATCTCCTATTAAAAGATTCCTGTCAGTTTGGAAAAGCTCTGAATCAGGAGATTAGACACATTTCAAAAGCTGACAAGGCAGTCACTTCTCTTAAGACAGTGACTTTCTGGCAAATGCTCAAAAATAACTTTTTTTTGTGCGTGAGATTTTGGTTTTCTTTTTTCACTATTTCAAGACTTTTAACTTCTACCCAACAATGACTAGGACATTTCTGACTCGTCAATCTTTTATTCTCAGAGACTCTAAAAATACAAATCATCTTTCAGATCAAAATGTTCTAGAGATGCTTACCAAGTTTACTGTGGCTTGCATCCAGAAATTGCACTGATTAGCTTCTGGTATACTTCCTTGCAAATGCTTTGCATGTTAGTATCTCATTAAATATCTTATTCCTCTTTATTATTCTTCAGCACCAAAAAAAATGTGCTTCTACCTTATATCTAATCTGTTACTGTGCTTTTAACATATGCTCTCCCAGCTTATCTAAAAGAGATAACACATAATAGAGAAACTCAAAAAAAAGCAAAATAACAGATGCTGCTGCAGTTCTTCTGCATGCCAGGAGAATGTATCTTACTTTTTTCCTTTATATACATTCATAAATTGCATGGTCTTTATATGAATAAAGGCACAAAAGTCAACAAGATTACCAATTTTCAAGTGTGGAACTTTCCAGATACTCAGATATAAAAGTAATATGCACAGAAGTGGGAGATTCATTGTTATAAAGAATAATATAAAAAGGTAAAATAAAATGTGAAACATGCTCATGAGTCTCAAATAGGACTCAACATTACAGAAAACACTCTGGGTCTAAAACCCAGAAAGAAAAATATTCTGCCACTTCAAGAGGTCTTTGCTGATTCTTCACCTGTTTTTATTCTTTCCACATAATGCAAACCCACCATAGTGCAGTGTACAGTATGCATAATGGAAGCTCCTTCAATAGGCACATCTAGCAAAGACACGACCTATCCTCAAAAAGCAGAGATGTTGATGACATCTTCATCTGTCAGGAATTCTCTGCAGTTCTCTTTTCCAAACTGTGTAGCAAACAGAGAAAAAAAATTACTCTTTATGCTTTTCCCAGGCCAAGTTCTGTGAAAGCTCTTCTGTAAAGTTTCTCTTGAGCCCCCAGATTGCATGGGTGTAGTCAATGAAGAATTCACAATGCCCTGTTTCTTCTATAGAAAGAAGTCTTGAAAGAATAATTCTTCAAGTAAATTTCTTGTAAAATGACATTTTTATTTTGTTATTACATTTAGAATTTTATTGTTTTTATCTCAGACATAACAGTTTGCTTTCCGTGCTGTGTTCCCATGATCTTCAAAGTTAGATCTGGAAAAGCAGAACATCTTAGTCTTATGTATAGACTGCAAGTATAATTCTTGTAATTCCTGGAAACCATTTCAGTTAAACTTTATCTTTCTACCTTATTAACTATAGATAAATCCTTGGTGCAACACTACTTCTGAAACTTCTACATGAGGAAAGAAACTTGAAAATTGTACATGCATTTAAAAAAACCACAAAACTATCAATTTTGTCCTATTGCCTTCACACCACGTCATTCTTAAAAATCATCCTTTTTTTTACATTGCCATAAAAATAATGCACCTGACATGTATGTGCTCTTTTCTTTTGTAGGTGGAATGGAGAAAATTAAGCAGCATACCTTTGCATTAGCTCACTACACCTACACTGTGCTGTCTAACTTAAAATATGCCAATGGGGCTCCTGTCGTACGTATTTACAGTGACACAGATTTCAGCAGTCCTGATGTCCAAGGTCCAATCATTAATTTTAATGTGCTCGATGAAAATGGACAAGTGCTCGGCTTTTCACAGGTATGTTTTTCTCTTGTCTTAACTTGAGTTTACTGTTGTGCTTTAACTTAAGCATGTTCACAATGAATTCTTCATCCTAAAATAAATCTTTTATTCACAGCAGTCCTTTCTGAGATTTTGGGTTTGTTTCTTCATAGCTCTGCACAGCATATACATGCCATTTTTAAAGCAGTAGAAAAAGAATCCAATAAATAGTGCTAGCACAATACAAAATACGTAATAGCCAGAGGCAATATCTTACAGATTTATTACTCCACAAAAAGGAAGTTTGGAAGTGTGCTGTTTTAACAGGATACATTGACTAGGCAGTTTGATTTTCCGCTGGCTTCCTTCTCTAGAGTACTCACAATTGGGAATTGAAGAGAAGTCTGGAAAAGCTGATAAAGAGACTGCCTTGGAGCTTTGACATACAAGTGAAATTAGATCTCAGAATATAACAGTCATCAATGAAAGAGGAATTCTCTTTTCCCTTCAGTTGTAACAATTACACTCTTGTAATATTCCTGAGCGACCATGGAGTAAAGTTGGATGATCAGTGTAAAGGGTGAGATTCAAGCTCAAGAAATTCTTAAATGCTGTCTTTCTCAGCAGCTTTTTGTATCCTTTATCCATCAGGTATACCAAGTATCTTTAAGATGAAGCTTCATTAGGCTTTTCTCCTTTCAGTAGAGAGTGACAATAATTGTGTGTATGGCTGTGCACCGTGTAGGCAGTGGGTCACACAGGGGACAGTTGCTCACTTGCTCATCAGAAGAAGGCAGAGAAACCACGGTGCTCTTGTTTTGCTTGCTTCTTATTTTTTTTCCCTTGGCTTCCTGAGAGAATAGGATAATGAGGGGAACATGGAGATATGTCTACAATACAAGATGAGATCCATTTCTCACTAGGGAGAAAAGAAATGAAGCATTGTTTTATAGCTGCAAGTATGGAGTTTTACATTTTATATGACATTTACCTGATGAACATGGGATGGCCAAATGTAGAGTACTCAATAAGTTCTTCTTCACATACATCTTTTTTAGACAATGCGACCAAATAGTAGCAAATGTTCACCACATTTCATTTCAAAGCAGTCCACATTTTAGGAATTAATTAATCATTTATGTAACCTTCAATATGTGTGACAATGTTCAGAAAATATTTGAGATATTGACGCAACTGAGTTTGTAAAACTCCCCAAACACTTTAATGTTGTTTCTGTTCTTTGATTAAAATCAAAACCTTTACTCTGATTTCTGATTTGTACAACTTCTTAGTAAAATTGGCTGATCCATGTTTCACTTTTTAAAACTCAATCATACCCTCAAATTAAAAATTCTTTCATACTCTTATGAATCCATTATGCCTGTTTGCTACAGAGGCTGCTTATAAAAAGCTTCTTTATTGATCTATATCATCTGGATTGTGCTGTTCACCAGATTCTGAAGACTTCTAGCATATATGGAATGAAGAGCTATAAAATTTTCAAATGCATCCCAGTTTCATCTGAAGTGCCTGTTAGACTACTTTGTTTAATTAAAATAATATGCAATTTTTAATGACTTTTAGAAATTAACAACCACTATTCTTTCCAAAGCTGCAATATGTGTGATATATATGTATATATAAAATTGGCTTCTTTATGGAATGAAATTATTTCATAGAAATTTTATAGAAGTTATGGGGGAGAAAAAACCTTTGCTGCTTCTTGTTTATAATTACAAAGAAAATACATACAACAGAAAGTAAGCTTTATCAAACTGACCATGTAATCTCTTCATACCTGCATGCATGTCTAAATAGATATAGGTTTGAATCAAAGTTAAATCCAATAGTTTTGTTAGTTGTTTGGAAGTAAAATAGTGGCCTCTTCTTTGGTGGTGTCTATGGTCTGCAATTCATGTGGATTCACAGGGCAGTCTCCACGTGCAATCCAGTGGAGTCAGCAGAACACAGTTTCAGAAGGCTCCCAGAAAACATTTTGAAGAATTTTCTATGAAGGGAAAATTGGATGGCATTTACGTGCTCCGAGTGGACACCAGTTAATGACTCAGGTTATCTTTGCATATTAAAAGAGGAAGGACCTAATGTCCTATTCCTTTATGGATGATATCCCATCTATAATTAATTACTTATAACCAGGCATGGAACCAATTCTATTTGCCTCTCTGACAGGCAATTGTTATGTTCCTGTTGCCTATTGTAGGGCACAGTGTGACTGGACATTAACATTTGGTAGCTTGAAAAGGATGATACAGCCAACTGATTCCAGAGAAAATATTATGAGGAGGCTTGGAGCAGTTTATTTGGAACACTTGAGATTGGCAAGAAAGACTTCATAAGTAGACACTGTCTTCAGAGGATCCAAGCTTACATTTAAGCCTCAAGATTTGCATAATTGGCATGATATTCAAAACTCTGAACTAAGCCCAAGATATTTAGGATGTGAAAAGTGTGTAGTGAAATACATGACACGTAATGCCACTGCTGAAAAATGAAAACAGAAAAAAAAAATCATGTCTTTCGTCTGTGTAGCAATGGGGAAGAAAATTATTCTTACCTGCTCATTTGGTTGAAATCCATTTGTCGGTGTTATCAGCTTAATTACCAGAGCTAACAAGATTGTGCCAGTAAACACAAACACTCTTCAATTACATGCATAGGGTCAATTGCACCAAGAGGAAACAGCCACAATCTCAGGTTCATCTTTGAGTAAAACCTTTGTTGTAGCTCTGAAGAGCAAATGAAGGCATTTCATTGAAGTGAAAAACAAATAACCTCACTGTGATTGCATTCTCAGAGATGGCAGCAATTTTTACACCTTCCTGTCCCAATATAGATGATATAGAATATTTGGATGTTAAGAAGTGATAGGGTGAGAGGGAAATAACTATGGAAGTTAGTTGAATTGCTATTGCTTTTTTGTTTAAATGTTTCTTTGTGACTGTTGAAGGGTAATACTGTCATAGAATATTATACTTGGAATAAACTTGTGTTGTATACTATATGTATCATTGGTTTAATTGACAGTTTAATCACTAGTTTAGAGTTTTTTGTTCTAAATGGTAATTAAAACAATTAAATAAGAGGGACTTGTGGACCCAAAACAACAATATTCATTCAAAAGCTTTGGTTTTAATTTAGATTTTTCATGGAACATTTCTTTATCTAGGAATTAAACTACTACCATTTTGAAATTTCCATAAACCTCTCATCTTTGAGCACTAAAACTGCATTAAATTTCCTCCTTTGAGCTGCACCAAATACTTTCCTTGAAAATTATTTCCTTCAGTAAAGCTGTCTCATAGACTACTATTGGTAGTAATTTGTTCTTGAAATCACTTGGGAGGACACCTGTATTCTTTTCACACAAGATGCCTCTCCTCTGCAGTAGCACCTCTGTCATTTTGTTAAGTGTTTATTTGCACTGCAGCATCAAAAAGCCCCTGTTAGGAACAAGGGTTGAATTATGACGAGTACTTGACAGGTCCAGGACATAAAGATGGCCTTTTTGCCAAATGGCTTCTTCATATATACTTGTCTAGTCAAGAATGGATAATTCCCCAGTATTAGAGCTTTTTCTGCTAATGAAGTGTGGACAGATGACAGACTGGTAATTTGGAAAGGTGCAAAAGTGCAGGGGCGTAGAGATGAAGGATCTCTGCAGGACAGAAGCAGAAGAGTTGACACTAAAGCAGCAATCTTCTGCCTCCTTGTGAGGCTACCAGAAAAAGAGAAGCAATCAGCCCTAAACTTTAAAGAGGGCTTGTGATGTAACAAAAGATGGTGTTACAGATATATATCTGGTGCTGAGCTAATGCAGCAAACTCTTCACACAGAGAATCATCAGCTCATTCATTAACAATGAATATCTACAGCTTTCAGCATATATGAATATCATGTGTTCTGTCATCCCCAAGCCTTTTCCAGGCTCTTGAACACTGACAGAAATGACTCAGCTTCAATTTGCATCCTTGCCATCTTTCATTTTTTTCAGCAAAAACTTCCATAGGACTCTATGAAGTCCAACCTGATTTGAATGCCAAAGAGATGGAACAGTCATAAGAGAACAACATAGATTTGAAACAACAATCATACACACAAAAAATGTGGCTTTTTTGTAAACTGGGTCAAAGTGAAAATGTTGTATGTTCTCTTCACACTTGCAGATGTGAAAAAATATCACCCCATCTCTGCTCTGGGAGGCCTTTTATGCTAATATAATTTATGAAATCTTCTATTTGTTTTGATAGAGAGTTGAGATCTGTGAAATTCTCTTTGTATATTCAGTAAATAATTTCAGAGTGATTTTATAATCCCTTCACATTTTATTCTATAAAGTCAGTTTGGAAGCCAGAAGAAGGTAAAGAGGTAACACAGATGGCCAGATGGAATTTTGCCTGAAATATTTGTTGAATTGTATGCACTGGAGAGCTCTTACCCAGCCCCAGCTTTCAGTTCAGTGTTCTGCCAGTAGTGAAAAATAGCCCTTCCCTTACCAAACTTTTTCTTTTTCCACTCTGATCTTCTGAGACAATATTTTTTTTTTCTCCTCCTGTGCGTAATAGAGCCAGCAATGGGCTTTAAAAAGTGAGCAAACCATCATGGCTGTCTTTTGAAAAATGACCATCATTTCACATTTCAGCTGTGGATTACCGGCATCCATCCTTACTCTACTTTTTCACACTGCCTCCTTAGCTTGGAGCCTGAACCTAAAGCACAAGTAACTTGCTGTGATAGGCTCACCTACAAAAGTTCCCTTAGTGGGAACGTATATGCTTGCCGTGTCCTCTAAAGATCCTGTCAGGAAGGGAATGAGCATCAGTCCATTAGCAGTCTCAGCCTTCTTGCCTACCACTTCACACTTGTGTGTGATAGACAAACTGCTATAACAGGAATAGCTGCCAAAGAGAGAGAATGTAAACATTTTGGTTTGCCTAAGGAAGGCTCTTCTGCAGTGTTGCATATGAATGAGTTTTGCCTCTCGAGACTGAGAACCCTGCTCACATAGATTATATATA